TGACGAAAAATATCAAACATGTTTGATATTTGGTTTACATGTCACGAATGACGAAAATGCCGTAAATGTTGCCCGCACACGAGGAAATTTTGTCGATCCAACTTGTCACGAATAACAAATACGCGCGACAAGTGCGCTCCTGTGCGGCAGGCTTAACAACATGACCTGTACATTCATCGTATCGTAAATGTTCTTATTATTGGGGTGGTTAATTTCATATGTAGACATATACCAGCTGCTTGATTGTACGATGGATCGTTTTAAGGTTTCGGCTCACTCATCTTTTAACTTATACACTAATGCATTCATTGTTTTATGGTACATTTTCAATACGTGCAGACCATATTGTTGACGACATTTTACCTTGGCATAACGTGATTTAGATATATTCTATTCTGTCTAAGCGGGGTTCTACTGTACTTGCAAGTTTGGACAAACTTTTACAATAAAATGTAAACTGTGCACTCCTAGGCTATACTTACGGGAGACACATTATAGCCAACATAGTGAGACCTGCTCCAATTAAGGATAACGCACAGCCAATGTAGGAAATCAGTTTTAAAGCTTTGACATCGTTTGAACTCAACTGTAAAATACAATACGTCAATTGTAAGAGATTAGTGTCTGCATGTGCTACAGTGCTGGTTTATGATATTTACAATGGATAGCCGATGTCGGTCAGTAAAAGCTGTTTTCCATGACCATAGGAAGATTCATTTAGATTCGTTGCGATCTTACCTTATGAGTGTGCACTTGCATTAGAACACCAAAATGTGTAAGATGGTTACATCGACATACAGATACATTTTGATTTGATAAATCCGAGTCAAGCTTACACCCTTCTGTTGACCAAACTCCATCAGAACTAAAAAAATGTAAAATCATTTAGAACGTAAGATTTCGGAACATATTCTTACTCGTCGATGTCATATGTTCCAGATTTTACACAGCCATATCACAGAGAAGAGATAGTACAGAGAGGAAACACGCGGCAAATTATGTCACGCCGATATATTCAGTCTATTAACTATAGAAAATTATATTAATTCACTATTTTATTAAATTTTGACCATGCAAAGGAAAAAACTATACATATTATAGAAGTATTCATGTTTTTTTATGCAAGAGTTATATTCTGAGGAATTTATATCATTCGCCGCTTTGTTTTTTTATATATGAGTATCTGAAACTCCAGCCAGTGCTTTTCACGATTTTAATAAGGAGTAGATAGGGGAAAAAAACAAACTTTTGCAAAATAAAATGTTATGTTAACACTTTTAATAAAAGGAAATCAATAAAAGTGATCGCGTACCGTTATTCTACAATAATTTATTGAACAAAATTTCCATGGGTATCTCATTTATTAAAAAAAAGCGATTTTCACCTTTCGAACGGCGTTTTTCTTATCTTTTGCTATGAAATTTCATCGACGGCGCTGGCTGGAAGATTTTGCGTGGCGCGTGGTGTGTTCGCACTGCTTGTTCCCAGCTTGTTCACAAGTTGTCAACGGTTTGTTGGCAACTTGTTACAAGGTTGTTGAGCTCAACAGACTTGTTATAAGTGGTTCCAACAACTTGTTATCGTCCTGTAATATAACAATTTGTCAACAAATTGCGAGTGACAACCTTGTAGTAACTCGATAAAATAACAGCATCGTTACAACTTGTTGACAAGCTTGCTACAAGCCTGTTGCGAACACATCTTGTTGACATGTTGTGAGATTTTTACGTGTGCGCCAATTTAGATAAACAAAATTTAGTAAAGATAGCATACTTTACGTCATTATTCCATTTGAGAAAAACACACATTGGCTTAATTTCTGGATTGAAATTTGTCTAGAGAATGACAAGCAAAAAGTTATTCTAATAACAAAAACTTTTTCTAAATAACTTGCGACAATAGTTTGGGCAAATTTTAGTCTTACATTCAAGTGAGCTAAACGGATAACAATGTCGTGACTTTTAAGACCGCTGATTCTTGGTACTGCAGTACTTGCAATCACGTGACTATTAAGCTGATATGATCCAGGAATTTGATTCGTCTCCCTAATAGGACAGGGAGAATAATGTCAAGTTTATATGTTTAGAAGTACGTAACAAAAGTTAGTTTAGTTTAGGTTTCCTCCTGTAGTAACACTGGATCAATAAGAAATGATCTTTACTGGCTAGGAAGAACAGTTTAGAACTGATAGAGCTATCCAGAATAAACAAAGTTAGTTTAGTTTAGGTTTCCTTCTGTAGTAACACTGGATCAATAAGAAATGATCTTTATTGGAACTGTGGGGTGAACAGTTTAGAACTGATAGAGCTATCCAGTATAAATAAAGTTAGTTTAGTTTAGGTTTCGTTCTGTAGTATAACACTGAATCAATAAGAGATGATTCTTACTGGACCTCTAGGAAGAACAGTTTAGAACTGATAGAGCTATCCAGTATAAATAAAGTTAAATATAGGTTAGTTTAAGTTTCCTCCTGTAGTAACACTGGATCAATAAGAGATGATCCTTACTGGACCTTTAGGGAGAACAGTTTAGAACTGATAGAGCTATATCCAGTATAAATAAATTAAGTTCGTTTAGGCCGCTTTAGTTTAAAGTTTAATTAATATTAAACTAAGGTTCAGTTACATACGTTTCAACGACGTTAATAGAACGTGGCATTTTCTTGTCCAGATCCAAGTATAAGACGCTGTACACTTTACGTTTGAATTCTGCAAAAGAAAATAGACGTACTCCTTGAAATCCATCATACTTGATGTCTGGTCCTTCATAATTCAGCTTAGTTCTCAGCTACAAGTAAGGATGATCGGCACACACACGCTCACTCACCTCCGTTCTCTGTAGCTAAAGCTTGTATCGGGATGAAAATTTGATCGGATTGAAACTCCTTACCAAATCGATCGGTAATATTTCCACGTGGAAATGAGTAGTTTGTGAGAGGAAAGCTAACTTCCATCACTAGAAAAGATGAAATAAAATTAAAATATAAATATATATAACTTATTAACTTGAATTGTGATGACATCTGGTCTAAGCTGTTATCCATACAGATTTATTAAGAGCTAGAAATCTTCATTGTCACTACAGGAGGCACATAGTCATAGGCTGACAATACTAGGTGCTTTTCACTTGTTGAGAATAATATTCTTATAAGAACAAGTTTTCCAACATACCAAATTTTTTGTAGTACAAAGTCTTTGATTTTCCGCTTTGGTTCCAATTCTCTGCAAATTTTTGACCATTGAGGTCAAGTATCCTTGCTATGGACAGTCCAGTGGTATCTTTGGCTCGTTGTGAAGATTGATTCGTTTGCTCGTTTGGTGATAAAATTTTACTTAAACCGTTTGCGCAGTCCTGGAGGGAAAGGAATATTTTAACTTCATACTGGATAGCTCGATCAGTCATAAACTGTTCTGCCTAGATCTAGAGGCCCAGTAAGAGTCATTCTTATTGTAGTTATTGATCCAGTGTTACTTCAGGAGGAAACTTAAACTAAACTAACTTTATTTATACTGGATAGCTCTATCAGTTCTAAACTGTTCTTCCTAGAGGTCCAGTAAGGATCATCTCTTATTAATCCAATGTTACTACAGGAGGAAACCTAAACTACACTAAACTAACTTTATTTATACTGGATAGCTCTATCAGTTAAGTTCTAAACTGTTCTTCCTAGAGGTTTAGAGAGAATTGCCGTATAAATAAAGTTAGTTTAGTTTAGGTTTCCTCCTGTAGTAACACTGGAACAATAAAAGATGATCCTTACGGTACCAGGACATTTTGCCGAAAGACACTTTGCCGAAAGACATTTTGCCGAAAGACATTTTGCTGAACGGATGATGTTGAATGATGTTATTCTTTATATCGCGAAATTTCGGTAAACTTGTCAAAAACGTGAAAGAATATAAAACGAAACTATATTTCCCTACAAAGTTTCTGTCATCAAAATCGACAATGACTTTAATCACGGAAACTTTGACCGTGTAAGTGAACCTTTAAAGTTCAGAAGATTTCTTTATTTTCGGCAAGTTGTCCGTTCGTCAAACTGTTCGTTCGGCAAAATGTCCGTTCGGTAAAACGTCCGCTCGGCCAAACGTCCGTTCGGCAAAACGTCCGTCGGCAAAATGTCCGTTCGGCAAAATGTCTTTCGGCAAAATGTCCGGCCACCGATCCTTACTTGACCTCTAGGGAGAACAGTTTAGAACTGACAGAGTTATCCAGTATAAGTAAAGTTAGTTTAGTTTAGGTTTCCTCCTGTAGTAACACTGGATCAATAAGAGATGATCCTTACTGGACCTCTATAGTGTCTTATTCTTCAATCAGAAATAGCGTTTTAAAAACGTTGATTGAATAACTCTTAGAGTACCTGAAAAGACTTTTTACATTTAGATGAAAGTTCTGCTACGGGGGATGTGGTCGATGAACTTGGTGTAGTGTACTGCCGGGTGGGGGTGGATTTAATCATTGCCGAGATTTGAGTTACAGAAGTTGGTGCCAAAAGTCTTGTGGTAGTCAGAGTTCCGGTGGGGGACGAAGTTCCAGCAAGTTTTGAAGTTCCAGTAACGGTTGAAGTTTCGGTAAGAATCGAATTTCCGGTAGAGGTTGAACTTCTGATAAGAGACAAAATTCCGGTAATGGGCAAAGTGCCGGTAAGGATCGAACTTCCGGTAGAGGTTGAACTTCTGATACGAGGCAAAATTCCGGTAATGGGCAAAGTGCCGGTAAGGATCGAACTTCCGGTGGGGGTTGAACCTCCGGTATTTGACAAAACTCCGGTAAGCGGCAAAGTTCCGGTGGTAAGAGGCACGGTTCTGTTCGGAGACTGACGCACAAAATGGGATGCGGTTGCAGTAGGCGTCACGTGTATTGAAGGCTGTTTTGGACATTTTTCTGAAAGTAAAAAAAGAATATTGGATTGGAGTTAAGTTGCATTATCATATTTAAAGTATTTAAAAAACGTAACGAAACGAAACTTTTATTGTCGTATTTAGATGAGCTATAAAAACTATAGCGTAACTTCGTTTATAATTTTTCGTTTCGTTACTTCGTTTTCGGGATACTTCGGTTAGTTTGATATACTTGTCAAGTTACTACGACACAAATATGCATAATGAGTTATATTAATTTGTGTATCTTTGCTACTAATTGAAACAAAATCGCTTTACAAAAACATAGTGTACATTTGCGTAATGGGTGTTTCCAGCTATAAACTAAATTTTGATCAAGGCAAGAAGAACGAAATCCAACACCACAGCTGGAAAGAGCGTCTTAGAATGAGTAAAACTGCAAAGATTGGTTGCTAAATGTTGTAAAATGAAGAAAATATAGTCCTGTGAAGTTCGCAAATTTTGTATACATTTGTATTACGCGCCGGAAAAAATAACCATTTTAATTTCGGCTCAAAAATGGTTATTTTTCCCGCGCGTAATGCAAATATATACAAAATTTGCGAACTTCACAGGACTATATTTTCCTTATTTTACAACAATTCGCAACCAAACTTTGCAATTTTACTCATTTTAACTTTAAGATGCCCTTTCAAGCTATGCTAATGGATTTCGTTCTTCCAGCTATGCTAATGGATTTCGTCTAGATCAAAATTTCGTCTATACAGTAGCTGGAATAACCCACTCTACAAAATCAAATGCCTGGATTCTCTAGTAATTTTATTTCATCATAACAGGATTATTACTGGGTCAATCTACGAAACGCGGTCAGTTGAAATTTTACTAACTTGAAATGGTTGCCCATCGCTAAAATCATACCTGATGATGTTCAAAATAATGAAAGATTTAACGCCAAATTATTTGACCCAAATGTTTAACACTTGCGATAAGCCACGTTCTAACTTGCGTAGCAATCATATAAATCTTTCGTTAGATAAGCCCAAAATCAACTTCTTTTAAACCAGACAATAAAATTCTCGTTTCACATGGACTTTTAAAGTATTTAAAAAGAAACACATCGTGTTACCAATCTTACTTTCGGGAGGTAGCCTTAATAATACTGCTGGTATTTTCTTCTTCTTTTCACCGGGCCATTTCACTTCAATTTGGAATTTAAAAACTCCTGAGGCTTTCCCAATATGAACGATGGTAAGATAGTAGAATGTCCCAAATTTCATTGTATAGTTTCTTTGGACATGGTATTCCACTTCCTTACTGTAAAAAAGGTTTGAAGTAAAAGTTAAGAAGACAGGTTTTAACGTGCGTTTTATAGTCTATTGAACATGCATGGCGCAACGAATTTTAGGTGTAACTTTACCAATTTTTTAGTGACGAAAGCCAATAAAATGCTGATTTCGTTTGATGGGTGTTCTGTTTAAACATGTCCAGTATTGGCTGACTAAAGACATACATAGGTATCCCATAAAAAATCAAAATATGTTTATAGTTTAAAAACTATAAACATAGAACTATAAACAGTTCTATGTTCTAGAAAACTATAAACAGTTCTATAAACAGTTCTATGTTCTTCAACTATAAACAGTTCTATGTTAGTTCTATGTTCTATAAACATAGAACTTATGTTTATAGTTTACCTCAACGTTTGTCTACATATATCGATTTGAATCTTCATATAGGTACGGTAAAAAAACGTGTGCGGAAAATTTCTCTCCTTCAATGGTTTTTCTGAGATGACGTTTTCTTTGACAACTTCGTGAATTATCAGTGACAAATCCAAGAATCAGGACATATCAGGAAAACCACTAAAGAAGAGAAATTTTCCGCACACGTTTTTTACCATTATTAGGATGTTAGGGTTTGTAATCCAAGTGAGAATATATACATTTTAAGACCTAACCAGGAACGACTGCGAAAAATGCAGCACAAGGTCCTCTGGTAGGAATCGAACCTTGTGCTGCATTTTTCGCAGTCGTTCCTGGTCAGGTCTTAAAATCTATATATTCTCACTTGGATTACAAACCCTAACATCCTAATATTAATTCCACCAAGTTTTTTACCATGCCTATGAAGATTCGAATTGCGATATCTAGACAAACGTTGAGGTAAATTATAAACATATTTTGATTTTTTTATGAAGGTACCTACATATTTACTCAGTCAGCCATTACTGAAAATGTTTAAACAGAACATCCATCAAATGAAACTTTTCGAAATCAGCATGGCTTTCTTCACTGAAAATTTGGTAAAGTTACACCTAAAATTCGTTGCGCAATGTCCAATAGACTAAAACGCACGTTCATTGTGTGAAGTAACCTTAAGTAAATAGGGCTTTCCGATTGCTAGATCATAAGCAAGTAAGCGGGCAACAGTTCACGACAGTTACAGCAGTGTCGTTGAGATAGACTCGAGTTCTATCTCCACGACAGTTGCGACAGGCTAAAAACGTGTTTTAATGGAAACAGAAAAACAACAGCGTGGCAACATTTTGAATAGCTAATCGGAATTGAATAATTTTTGCGTTTCATGTATATTATTATAAGGACAATAGAATAAGTAAAATTTACGAATTTTTCAAATGAATTTTTTTTACCCAACCTCAAATATCAATTAAAAATAAATACCCACCCCTGGTCAAAAACGTTACTAGACAAAAGGATGCCATTCAGTTGTCACACATGTCCTTTACCACTTCTGTGACATGAGTTTGATAACTGCTTGTGCAATTTTCTGCAGTCTAAAGTTTCATGTTGTCTGCACATGTACTTTCTTTGGAGAGACCATTTGCCTCGTGACAAATCGGAAAATGATCAAGATAGTGACTCTGATTGATTTCCATATGATTGTTGACATATATGGCTGTTGACATTGCTTTTTAGTCTTCAATATTTGAGCGAGTCATGCTTTGGAAATGACAATAAATTTTTATTACCCAACCCTTGAGTTGTTTTGTTTTTCATTTACCCAACCTTTTACTCACTCAAAATTTTGTTTACCCAACCCTTTTCTCTTCGGTGCCACCGCCCCCGCCGTAAATAATGACCACTCTGGTTCCCAATAATAGGCAGTGCTGTTAAAGTTACTCATTTTTTGGAACTAGTTACAATTACAGTTACATTCCCAAAAAGGAACTAGTTACTGGTCATTCAGTTGTCACACATGTCCTTTACCACTTCTGTGACATGAGTTTGATAACTGCTTGTGCAATTTTCTGCAGTCTAAAGTTTCATGTTGTCTGCACATGTACTTTCTTTGGAGAGACCATTTGCCTCGTGACAAATCGGAAAATGATCAAGATAGTGACTCTGATTGATTTCCATATGATTGTTGACATATATGGCTGTTGACATTGCTTTTTAGTCTTCAATATTTGAGCGAGTCATGCTTTGGAAATGACAATAAATTTTTATTACCCAACCCTTGAGTTGTTTTGTTTTTCATTTACCCAACCTTTTACTCACTCAAAATTTTGTTTACCCAACCCTTTTCTCTTCGGTGCCACCGCCCCCGCCGTAAATAATGACCACTCTGGTTCCCAATAATAGGCAGTGCTGTTAAAGTTACTCATTTTTTGGAACTAGTTACAATTACAGTTACATTCCCAAAAAGGAACTAGTTACTGGTAAAAGTTACACTTAATTAAAAAAATGTAACTAGTTGCCATTACAAAATTACTTCAATATTTTTGTAACTAGTTACAAGTTACTTAGAAATTTTTGTAACTTTATCAAGTGAGAAAAAAACCAGTTTTTTTTTAACGTAATGCACCACCTATTAAACTGTATGCCAGCAACTAGACTACGCAAGGGAACTACTGTACTCTCAGCTGTGTTAAGCACTGAAGCATGCGTTGTCGTAGAAAACCGTGAAGAGAATTTCGAGAACTGAGAGGTGAATTGTAAGTTTTAACCGAAAGAATGTAACGAAAAAAGTAACGTAAACGTTGCTATAAAAGTAACGCGTTACAGTTACTCAAAAAGTAACGATTACTTGTAATTTCGTTACTTCTAACGAAGTTACTTACAGCACTGATAATAGGTAACCTTTACAGCACTGGCCAAAGCTTAACTGTTAAAACTTCTTGTTAGTTTATACTCACTGAGAATGTCCCATTTCTTTCTGGTGTAACACAAGCTCGGGTGTGCCACATATATCCCTTCTTATCCATATCTTACACCACGGTATGCAGTCACTACTGAATGTATGTACACCATATTCCACTGCCAAGAAACTCGTTTTCAACAAAACGTTGAAATCATCGTTAAAAGATTTATTCAAATTATCAAAGTCCTTTTTCAAATAAATTTTTGTTGGAGGCATTGGCTCTTTGCCATTGCTCAACGTTTCTATTTCTTTCGCGTTTAGGTGTAGCCATTCTCTTACTCTCACTTTGTCTCCATCTAAATAATTTTGTAAAATTCAAGAATCAATAAACTAAATCATGAGCTGTTTCTGGTACACACGCAACAAGCCGTCAACGAGTTGTGTTCGCACCACTTGTCCCAAATTGTCAACAAGCCTGGCACAACTTATTAATCATTGTAATAACCTTGTTGATATTATCAGACTTATTGCAAGGTTATTCCAACAAGTCCGATACAGTCATGATATAACAATATTTGTTGCAACCTTGTATCGTCAACCTTGTAACATTCTTGTTATATCATGACTGTATCAGACTTGTTAGAACAACCTTGTAACATTCTTGTTATATCATGACTGTATCAGACTTGTTAGAACAACCTTGTAACATTCTTGTTATATCATGACTGTATCAGACTAATGTTAGAACAACCTTGTAACATTCTTGTTATATCATGACTGTATCAGACTTGTTAGAACAACCTTGTAACATTCTTGTTATATCATGACTGTATCAGACTTGTTAGAACAACCATGTAACATTCTTGTTATATCATGACTGTATCAGACTTGTTAGAACAACCTTGTAACAAGTCTGATAATGCCATCAAGCTTGTTACAAGTTGTGAACAGCTTATGATTTATGTGTGTGTTCGTGTTATGTACACACGTAAAAACGCACAAGTTGTTCCAGGTCTGCAAACAAGTTGTTACAAATCTGTTCACAAGCTGTCAACAAGTTGTGTTCGCGCTGCTTGTTCCCAGTTGTTGTAACAAGTTTGGAACATGCTGTTAACAACTTGTAACAAGCTTGATGGCATTATCAGACTTGTTACAAGGTTGTTCTAACAAGTCTGATACAATCATGATCAGGTTGTAACAATATTGCTATACCATGACTGCATCGGTTACAATATCACCAAGGTTAATTGTTATAACTTACAAGTTGTTACTGTCGTTCCAATTGAAGTGTTGTTCAAATATTGATTCAATACATTACCCCGGGCTGACCAATTCAATTCATCAAGTCCCTCAAGATATTCATACACTTCCTAGTATAATTGTAAACTTCCTGTTGAATAGTTTGAATGCACCAATCACCTTTGTTGTTTGTGCAACTAACCAATCATGAATAGAAAGGAAGTGATCAGAAATGATCAAATACTTGGAATTGGCTCTTTCACAGGAAGTGTATGAATATCTCGAGGAACTTGATCAAATGAATTGGTCAGCCCGAGGTAATGTATTGAATCAATATTTGAGCAACACTTCAATTGGAACGACAGTAACAGCTTGTTCCAAATTTGTTGACAACTTGGGACAAGCAGTGCGAACACAACTTGTTGACGACTTGTTGGCAGACTTGCTACAAGATGTGAGATTTTTACCTGTGTACTCAGGTGAATATGATGTTTGTGGCGCTACTCGAGAGTGACTGACCAAAGGTCGCGGGTTCGATTCTCACCGTGGTCAGGCAAAATTTTCAGCTTGCCCGGTGTCGATGCACACTCAGAGTAACATCACAAACATTTTTAACAGCTTGTTTGTAACAACTTGTTGGCAGACTTGCAAGGGTGGGTTGTAGCGAAGTAGTTGTAGTTCGCTACTGTAGCGAACTACAATTTTCAAGTAGCCAGTAGTTGTTGACTACTTTTTTAAAACAGTAGTTGTAGTTATAGCGAACTACATTTTGCCTAAAAGTAGCCAAGTAGTTGACTACTTTTCAAACAGCGACTCGCTATTCGCTACTTTTTAAAATTGTTAGCAACTTGATAGAATAGCATGATATTAATCGCACTCCTGAACACTGTAGTGCTTACAAAAATGTTGCTTTGTGTTTACTGTTGCGACTCGTAAGTCGATTTGTTATAGATTACATTACTGCTCGAGTTAGTAGATGCTCCAAATATAGTAAAACTAAAATATATAGCGTAGCGAAATAGCGAAATAGTTCGCTACATTTTTTAAGCAGTAGCTGTAGTCAGTAGCGAACTACCTTTGTTCAAAAGTAGCAGTAGTTGTAGCTGACTACATATTTTTGAAGTAGCTGTAGTTATAGCGAACTACAAAAATTTTGTAGTCAACCCACCCTTGCAGACTTGTTACAAGATGTGAGATTTTTACGCCTGTACACCCGTAAAAATCTCAAAACTTGTCAACAAGATGCGTTCGCAAAAAGAGAAGGAAAATTCGGTGTACAATTTGTTGCAGCTAAGTCAAGGGTTGCACCACTCAAAGAGCTCACAATTCCTCGCCTTGAGCTTCAAGCCGCAGTAATAGGAAGTCGTCTCGGTAAAGCCATTCAACAGGAATCTCGTAGCTGGCCTACGAAACGTGTTTCTGTTGGGGTCTACACCGTAGGCTAGCTTGTAGCAAGCTTGTCAACAAGTTGTAACAATGCTGTTATTTTATCAATTTGCAATTACGTCATACCATTGCAAGGAGGTGTCGAGTTCGTCTCACACTCTTTTGATGTTATGTTAAAAACGGTTTTTGGAGATTTGCAGTCTTCTATCTCAGCTCTGCCTTCGGAATCGCACTGCAGATATTTACTGCATTCGGTTGTCGGGTATCTTTTCCCACGGCGATTCGGTGGATCTCCACATTTTTCTAATAAAATGAAAAAAAAACAATAGTTTAAATAAATTGCCTACATTGGCCTATACTAGGAGTTACTATAGCAAGGGAAATGCTTCCGTATGGCCATGTCAGAACTTCTGGCCAGAATTCGTAATTTGTATATCACGGCTTCAAGCATGAACAGTGAATTATACAGGGTGTATCAAAAAAAGCGCAATCCTCGACTGAAATGTAAATTGCTAAACAAATAATAGACGAAAACGTTAAAGTTTACATTCATTTTAAAGCGTAGCCATTCAGCTTTCTAACAGTGGGTTGTTTCTTAAATTTGACTCATTGGTTCGCGGGTAATAATACTTTACGTTATTGCGATTGGAGATTAAAAAAATTGAGATGGTATAACAAATCGTTCTCATGAAAATAACTGATTTTTTCATTAAAACAAAAACAATGTTGCATTTTATTAAATGGATTGTAACAATAAGTATGATTACGGCTTTTCTTCCACTATTTTTAACTCAGTTTGAAACTTCAAATGCGATATAATTTTGGCTTGGACCATCTAAGCTGACTGACATCAACTTGCTATAATTTCGGTTTACATTACATCGCAATTCGAAGACACTCTGGCTCAGACACCAGAATGTTTTGACGATTTTTAGCATTCTTTTAGGATTTTCAAACAACCTGGTCTCTTTTAAAATACTTTTAATTTGTTCTTACGTGGTTTTCCAGATGTATAGTGACGACAACATTAAAGTTTAAAGAAGAAAAGTCTAACATTTAAACCGACTAAACAATAACATAGTAAACTTGCATAATTAAACAGCAACTAAAAATGATAGGTTTTACTAAATCTTTTCCTGTGCAATTATTACTAGCATTGGAGACAAGGATAATAGTTTGTTTGAAAGAGAAAAGAACAGGCTTTGAAGTAAGCATAAAAGCGTTTAACTAGAAATAGTATTTCGAAAGTTATTAAGCACAAAAGATGAATTGCGTTTATTTTGATACACCCTGTATAAAGCGACGTTGTCGCGAAATTTGAGAATAAAGTAGGTCGGTTTGCAACTTGCCTCAATCGCTGGTTGCAAAACAAAGTGTGTCGAAGTATTTAGTGTAATGTTGGCCTGATTTCAGTTACTGTCTATTCTGCATTTTCAATATTTGTACAGAGCTGCGTTTACGACATTTATCTATTGATATTATCAGACTTGTTGCAAGGTTGTTCCAACAAGTCCGATACAGTCATGATATAAAAATATTGTTACAACCTTGTGTTGTCAACCTTGTAACATTCTTGTTATATTATGACTGTATCAGACTTGTTAGAACAACCTTGTAACATTCTTGTTATATCATGACTGTATCAGACTTGTTAGAACAACCTTGTAACATTCTTGTTATATCATGACTGTATCAGACTTGTTAGAACAACCTTGTAACATTCTTGTTATATCATGACTGTATCAGACTAATGTTAGAACAACCTTGTAACGTTCTTGTTATATCATGACTGTATCAGACTAACGTTAGAACAACCTTGTAACATTCTTGTTATATCATGACTGTATCAGACTTGTTAGAACAACTTTGTAACATTCTTGTTATATCATGACTGTATCAGACTAATGTTAGAACAACCTTGTAACATTCTTGTTATATCATGACTGTATCAGACTAATGTTAGAACAACCTTGTAACATTCTTGTTATATCATGACTGTGTCAGACTTGTTAGAACAACCTTGTAACATTCTTGTTATGTCATGACTGTATCAGACTTGTTAGAACAACCTTG